CATAACCCGTTCTTTCCCATTGGTCTTCACTTATCAAATAGGAAAATTAATATTTAGCAATTAAGTTGCATGGTTTAGATTTTCAACACTGTTGAACAGTAGGAAAGTAACATAAAACTAAATTTCAGCAGGAAAAAAAATGTTCTTATGTTTGATAGAAAATCAGCTTTATCTAGGCAGCGATAGTATACTTATAAGCTCACTTTTTATATTTATTTCTTTATACAGTTAACCATCCACTGAGTCTATTCTGATTCATAAAATGATGAAAAAGCTGTATTTTTCAATTCCATCCAATAATTAATATTTATTAAATTAGAAGATATAAAAAATATACATAATATGTAAACTAAAAAACTATAAAACACAAATACTCACGGTTTTCGGTGTTTTAGTTTCATTTCATTTCATCTCCTGGAAATTTCTATCCTTTTAGCATTTCTCAGAAGCATCCTCTCCCTAGCTATACATTTTCATGAGTTGCCCTGTCCTTGTTCAATCTCGATATTTGTTCCATCCAGTTCTTGCAGATATATTTATTTAGCAGACATAGAACTTGTCAATTTGTCACAAAATCATTTGTATTATCTGATACCAATTATTGTTCTTTTTGAATTAAAAAAAAGGTTTGCCAGAAAAATATTAAAGATTATCAGATATATATATATACAATTATATATTTACATTTTTTACAAACTTTACGTTGAATTCATTTACAATACGGAATAAAATTAATTCAACAAATTTTCACATTTTACTTATTGATACAATTCCTTTTAATTTACTTTCATGCTTTACAAACCTTTAACTTGGATTTATTTTACTGAAATTATTTTTCCTTATAACAAAAATTACTCAATAGAAAAATTCTACTATAATTTCTCTAGAACTTTTTCTCATTGGAAAAGATTTATTCATTTCGAAGACCATTCATTTCGAAGATATCGAAGATTCATTCGATTCATTTCGAAGATATCTAAATTTTGCTATTTATAATCAGTTATTGGTGTGTCCTCATTTGAAAAAGTGTTTATTTGATGGATAATGAAGACGGAACCCTAGATAATTATTTGAATAAACACAATTCAAAACTTCAATATTTCAATTTTTTTTCTCCCCCAAAATTAAAATTTTTATGAAAAAAATAAGATATACCTTTTCATCAGACTTTTTTTTTAAATAAAATATTTAAATTCTCTGTTTCCTTTCTTTCGATTAAAAATTTTTAAATGCTGAAGAAAGGTTTCTTTCGTCCTTTCTCCATTTTTTTTCTTCAGAATTTTAGAGCTGAAAAAGAAGGGTCATTTCAATATTCCCATTTTTTTACAAAAAAATTATATTCTTATTCACAGGGATTTCTTACATATTTTCAATTTTTAGCTTTCTTCCCAATCAATTTTCGTCATTTACATATAACACTGAAGAGCCAGAAAAATTGGTTCACTGATTTTGTTTAACCTTGATAATGCAGATGTTACATGACGTATCCAATTACTTCACAAGCGTCTGAAGGCAGATTATTCACTTAATGAATTTACTATATTTCCCACCACGGGAGTACTCAATGGCAGGTATGCATTTTTCAAAACAAAACATAGCCAATGTGTTAAATATTACTTGGACATTCAGACAGCCGAAGTAAGTGCTTTAACTCTGAAGATAATTCTTGAAGTGGGAAACAGTGTTACCAGGTTATTTTGCCGCCATCGTCTTAAATGAAGAGTGAGATTTTTCAAAAATATTGCTCTTCACAGATGAAAGAAAGAGCTCTGTTCAATTATCCACATTATTGTCCAAGAGTAACGATTTAGAAAAGATGAGGCGATGTTTTCTAAGCAAAACATCGCTGATATATGGAATAATACTTGGACATTTAGACAGCAAAAGTAAGTCTCAACTCTGAAGATAATTCTTGAAGTTGGAAACAGTGTTACCAGGCTATTTTGCCATCCTCTTAAATGAAGAATGAGATTTTTCAAAAATATTACTCTACACTGATTAAGGAAAGAGCTCTCTTCAAATGTCCACATTATTGTCCAAAAGAAAGCATTTAGAAAAGATGAGGCGATGTTTTCTAAGCAACACATCGCCGATAGATGGAATAATACTTGGACATTTAGACAGCAGAAGTAAGTCTCAACTCTGAAGATAATTCTTGAAGTGGGAAACAAAGTGTTACCAGGCTATTTTGCCATCCTGAGATTTCTCAAAAAAGTTACTCAGCACTGATGAAGGAAAGAGTGCTGTTCAAATGTCCACATTATTGTCCAAAAGAAAGCATTTAGAAAAGGTGAGGATATTTTCTAAGCAACACATCGCTGATAGATGAAATATTACTTGGACATTTAGACAGCCGAATGACGGAAACCTAGATAATTATTTGAATAAACACAATACAAAACTTCAATATTTCAATTTTTTTTTCTCCCCCAAAATTAAAATTTTTATGAAAAAAATAAGATATACCTTTTCATCAGATTTTTTTTAAATAAAATATTTCAATTTTCTGTTTCCTTTCTTTCGATTAAAAATTTTTAAATGCTGATAAATGCTTCTTTTGTCCTTTCTCCGCTTTTCTTTTTCAGAAATTTAGAGTTGAAAAAGAAGGGTCATTTCAATATTCCAATTTTTTTTACAAAAAAAATTTTATTCTAATTCACAGGGATTCCTTACATATTTTCAATTTTTAGCTTTCTTCCCTATCAATTTTCGTCATTTACATATAACACTGAAGAGCCAGAAAAATTGGTTCACTGATTTTGTTTAACCTTGATAATGCAGATGTTACATGACGTATCCAATTACTTCACAAGCGTCTGAAGGCAGATTATTCACTTAATGAATTTACCATATTTCACACCACGGGAGTACTCAGTGGCAGGTATGCATTTTTCTAAACAAAACATCGCCAATGGGCTAAATATTACTTGGAAATTCAGACAGCCGAAGTAAGTGTCTTAACTCTGAAGATAATTCTTGCAGTGGGAAACAGTGTTACCAAGCTATTTTGCCATCCTCTTAAATAAAGAATGAGAATTTTCAAAAATATTGCTCTATACTGATTAAGGAAAGAGCTCTGTTCAAATGTCCACATTATTGTCCAAAAGAAAGCATTTAGAAAAGATGAGGCGATGTTTTCTAAGCAACACATCGCCGATAGATGAAATATTACTTGGACATTTAGACAGCAGATGTAAGTCTCAACTCTGAAGATAATTCTTGAAGTGGGAAACAAAGTGTTACCAGGCTATTTTGCCATCCTGAGATTTCTCAAAAATGTTACTCAGCACAGATGAAGGAAAGAGCGCTGTTCAAATGTCCACAGTATTGTCCAAAGGAAAGCACTTAGAAAAGATGAGGTGATGTTTTCTAAGCAACACATCGCTGATAGATGTAATATTACTTGGACATTTAGAGAGCAGAAGTAAATGTCTTAACTCTGAAGATAATTCTTGAAGTGGGAAACAGTGTTACCAGACTATTGTGCCATCCTCTTAAATGAAGAATGAGATATCTCAAAAATATTGCTCGGCTCTGATGAAGGAAAGAGCGCTGTTCAAATGTCCACATTATTATCCAAAAGAAAGCATTTAGAAAAGATGAAGCGATGTTTTCTAAGCAACACATCGCCGATAGATGGAATATTACTTGGACATTTAGACAGCAGAAGTAAGTCTCAACTCTGAAGATAATTCTTGAAGTGGGAAACAAAGTTTTACCAGGCTATTTTGCCATCCTGAGATTTCAGGGTCCGTTAACGGACCCAAATTTCTTTTAAACAGACCCCTGCTTGATTAATTGAAATTTTTTATCTCTTATAAAAGGAAGTGCATCTATGAAAATACAGATTAAAATTAAGCATAGAAAATAAATTAATTGAAGATCAGTTTTTTTTTAAATTTTTAATTACCTGCATCAGTGCCACCCTCTTGATAAAACTGTTGAAGTTTTTTCTCTAATATTTGCTGCCACCTTCTTCGCATAACTGCTTCTGGATTGTAAATTGATCGAGTAAAGCTTGTTTCTGGAAGTTCAGAGTATAGTCGCTCAGCTATACCATCTTTCTTACTATCTTCAGCAGCCTGCAATTGCAATATAAAAATTAATAGGATAGCACTTTTGAAGTAAACATACAAAGGATACTTTCATTTGCATAATATAGACAATCATCCAAATATATATAGTCTACCTAATAATACTGTAAAATTAAAGCTGCCAACATTTCAAAATGTACACAAGAAAGTTTTTTTGCAATAGATAACTATCAACTTATACTGAAGATCAAGACATGTTTACTTGTAAGCAGTTATTCTTTTATAGATGGTTGAAATATGAAGCAAATATTTGCTAAAACATAATATACATGAACATGTGATCACAAATGTAATTTNTTTTTCTTATATCAACGTAAATATTTCCAATGACTCCCAAAACTTCGTTTTTCCAAAGAAAAATATTTGGTGAAAGCAGTTTATGATAAATTTACTTGATTAATTGAAATTTTTTATCTCTTATAAAAAAAAGTGCATCTATGAAAATACATATTAAAATTAAACACAGAAAAAGAGTTAATTGAAGATCAGTTTTTTTTTTTTAAATTTTTTAATTACCTGCATCAGTGCCACCCTCTTGACAAAACTGCTGAAGTTTTTTCTCTAATATTTGCTGCCTCCTTCTTCGCATAACTGCTTATGGATTGGAAATTGATCGAGTAAAACTTGTTTCTGGAAGTTCAGATTATAGTCGCTCAGCTATGCCATCTTTCTTACTATCTTCAGCAGCCTGCAATTGCAATATAAAAATTAATAGGATAGCACTTTTGGAGTAAACATACAAAGGATACTTTCATTTGCATAATATAGACAATCATCCAAATATATATAGTCAACCTAATAATACTGTAAAATTAAAGCTGCCAACATTTCAAAATGTACACAAGAAAGTTTTTTTGCAATAGATAACTATCAACTTATACTGAAGATCAAGACATGTTTACTTGTAAGCAGTTATTCTTTTATAGATGGTTAAAATATAAAGTAAAAATCTGCTAAAACATAATATACATGAACATGTGATCACAAATGTAATTTGTTAACATCACAGAAAACTATTTAGTATCACTCATTATAAACAAAAAATGGTCTAAAATTCCTTATTTTACCCTGCAGTCAATATTTTTAAATTTACAAACATAGCAGAAAGTTTTTTCAGTAATACTCATTTAAAAAGATAAATAGTCAAAATTTCCTAATCTTAACCCACAGGTCTATCTTGCAGAGATTACACCAGAATTTCTTTCCGTGCTTTGCACAGTCGCATTTTTCCGTGATTATGACATTCTATTTATTATAAATACCAGTGTGCCTTAAATTTAATCAACGTAAAGTTTTTCAAAAAATTAAAGGCATTTTTGAAAGGAAAAAAATCGGAGATTTTTCAAAGTTTCAATAGTTAATTAGTATTACAATATCTAAGAGTTTATTATAATTGTTTGCAAAAAGTTTTTTAATTGAAATTGTGATCACGGTAAGTAATTCATTTTATTTAAGTCTGCTTATTGATCAGATAGACCTCTAGACGATGAAAAGAAGCCATAAAGTGATTATTACTCTAACAAGCTACTAATAAATTTGAGAAAACAAACAAATAAATTCAAAAAATGACATTATGTAGAACTTTGAATGTTCTTGATTAAAGATTACAACTCAACTTAATTCTTTACAGATTTTAAAGAAGTTGTTGATAAATAAACACTAATTGCACTGAACAAAACTCTTAGTAGAATCAAGGTGGTCACAGAGCAATTTAAAAATAAAATTTTAAAATAAAAAGATAAAACGCAAATAGCTCAGGATCAGCAAAGAGGGAAGGGATTATTTAGACTATATTAAATGCTTATTTATTTAACAGAATTTTAATTAACAGAATTATAAATTATATTTAGTCATTGAACACTAACTCTTAATATAAAACCTACCTAATTCTTTTTTATGCATACAATTTGATCTAATTTGAGTTAACAAAAGGTGGGACAAATTGTATCTTTTTTTTATTTTTACAATATAATTTGTTTTTGTACAAGTTAGGAGAATTATAATACATAAAATAACAACTGCAAAATAAAAAGTTACAAAATTTGAGAAAAGTTATATGCTAACAGATATGAAAGTAAATATAAAAGAGAAAAATAAAAACCTTCAGTCTCTCTCGCTTTTCTTTCCTCTTCTTCTCACGTTTAGATAATTTTTTTTTGAAATTTTCATTATCACAAGCATCTATACTAGAGATCTGAAATACAAATATGAAATTAAAACCAGGATATTTTGAAGAAGAAAAATCTATTTGCTGTAGAAATTTTATTTTGCATAAAATTTTCAAATAAAGTTAAAAAGAAAAAAAAAATTTTAACCAGTAACAGTTTATCAAATTTGCAAGCTGTAAGTAGTTTTCCTGCTTAAAATAAAGTTTAAAAATATTTCACCTTCCTTCAAACTAAACAGATACATAAGGTTCAGTTTAAAAGCATTAAAAAAAATTTGATAAACAACTTCAAGGTATGTCTTAAATATTATAGTCTATACAGAGTCTCAAATTTTGGCCTTATATATTTTTAAAAAACTGCCTTTATTGTTAAATCTCAGGTGAGAATGAATTGAAATTCTATGAATCTTGAGCTCAGAACTCCAGAAGCTCATCTAGTAAACAGGTTAATCAGACTTAAATTAACTTAGCAGACAATAAAAAAAATACTGTTTCAAGCAGTTAAATTAAATCCTCAATTTCTATAATTCTTCTATTTCTAATATTGCAAATAACACTGATTCCAAAACTAAAGATTTTAACGCTAGAAAGATGACGGCACTAAATTGACACCTTTCATATTTAATATTCATAAAATCCTTAAAAATTTGTACTTTTCACAAAAGTTTTTAAATTCTTAATTAAATCCAGTTAAATAGGATCTATAACATTTCAAAAATGAGAAATCCATAATTATTTAAAAACACAGACAAATGTTTTTTTTTATTTATATATATATATTTTTTTTTTATAGGTATATATTTTAGTTAAGTAGAACATACATAGGACTTTTCATCCATGCGTCGAAGAAGAAATCTCCCTTCTCGGTCATCTCTATGCCAGTCTAGCTGCACAAGAAGGAACCTCTCATCTCCTTTTAACTTCCTCTCCTCTGCAAACATAATGGTAAAAAAAACATTTAAAATAACAATGAAAAAAACATTATTCTTTTTTATTAAAAAAAATAATATAAGAATTATGTTTCCTTCATTTCCATACATACCTCCATTTTCAAGAATTACATAAAGTGCATATTCAGGAATAGAAAGCATTCGAATATCTGGACGGAATTTTTCTATTAATGTTCCTATTACGTCTGATGTAGTTGCTGTGCTGGCAACCCTTATGCATTTATTAGCTACCTTTTGACCAGCATCTTGGAAATAAAACCTCATAGCCCCATGAAACTCTAAATCCTAAAAAAAAAAAACAAAAAAAAAAAAATTATAAATAGGATCTGNTTGATTGCAATTTCTTAGAATTCTAAAAATTATTAAATCAAAATAAAATATAGTGCACAATTTAATTTTTTTGGTATTTTTATGACAATTTAACAAAGCCCGCAAAATTTACAGAAATACTTAACTATATGCATTCAAAACTTTAATAATCCAGATTGGAAATTGAGGCATTCATTTATTGATTTAAAACATATAGTAAAAAATATACAGTTTTTTAGTTTAATTAACTCTAGGGATACATTGGTGCATTAGGCCTTGGACAGATCTATTCATTCATTAGTAAAAAATTTAATATTAAAATCTGAACAAAAAAAAATTTTTTTAATTAAATGTAATTGGTAGTTTAACTGCAAGACAATAAAAAATATAAAAATGTCAATTGACCCAATTGTCATTTTTTACCATCCTAATAACAATTTTCTAAATTAAAAAAAAAAAAAAAAAAAAACTANTAAGCAATTTAAATTTTTAATTTGATGGGTAAGTTCAAAGCTTCTGATAATCATTCCAGAATAAAAACTATAAATAACGCATATATTTGATCAATTACACAATCTCAAAACAATAAACATTGCCATTAGCATCGATTGTTAAATTATTTAAATTCTTTTAAAATTACGTTTTAAGACATTTAATAAGGAATAAGAACGATTTTGTAGTTATAATTCAAAAGTTAAATCAAAAGACAATAGTGGCTTTTAATTAAATATTACATTTCATGCTTCATTAGTGTTGTAGGAAATTCCGCCAATTTCAGGCATGAAAATTTTGTCAAAAAATTTAAATAAAGTATATAAGACTAAATTTTAAATCAATAATTCGTAAAATATTCGAACTCAAAAATGCTAACTTCACTTTCAACAAAAAGTCCTGTTTTTCTGTATTCTTAAAATTAGAAAAAGACATTAACAATAGAAAGACGGAAAATTAGTATATACCTATAAATTGACACCTTTCATATTTAATATTCAAAAAATCCTTAAAGATTTGTACTTTTCGCAAAAATTTTTAAATTCTTAATTAAATCCAGTTAAGTAAGATCTATAACATTTAAAAAATGAGAAATCCATAATTATTTAAAAATACAGATAAATGTTTTCTTTTAATTTTTTTTGATAGGTATATATTTTAGTAACTAAGTAGAACATACGTAGGACTTTTCATCCATGCGTCGAAGAAGAAATCTCCCTTCTCGGTCATCTCTATGCCAGTCTAGCTGCACAAGAAGGACCCTCTCATCTCCTTTTAACTTCCTCTCCCCTGCAAACATAATGGAAAAAAACATTGAAAAACATTAAAAAAAACATTGAAAATAACAATGAAGAAAACATTATTCTTTTTTATTAAAAAAAATAATAAAATAATTATTTTTCCTTCATTTCCATACATACCTCCATTTTCATTAATTTCATAAAGTGCATATTCAGGAATAGAAAGCATTTGAACATCTGGACGGAATTTTTCTATTAATGTTTCGATTACGTCTGATGTAGTTGCTGTGCTGGCAATCCTTATGCATTTGGTAGCTACCTTTTGACCAGCATCTTGGAAATAAGACCTCATAGCCCAATGGAACTCTAAATCCTAAAAAAAAAATTTATAAATTTAAATTCATTTATTGATTGCAATTTCTTAGAATTCTAAGAATTATTAAATCAAAATAAAATATAGTGCATAATATAATTTTTTTGGTATTTTTATGACAGTTTAACAAAGCCCGCCAAATTTACAGAAATACTTAACTATATGCATTCAAAACTTTAATAATTCAGATTGAAAATTGAGTTATTAAAGTTGATTATTAAAAACATATAGTAAAGAATATACAGTTTTTTAGTTTAATTAACTCTAGGAATACATTGATGCATAAGGCCTTGGGCAGATCTATTCATTCATTAGTTAAAAATGTCATAAAAAAAATTATTTCTGTTCAGATTTTAATAATTAAATGTAATTTGTAGTTTAACTGCAAGACAATAAACAATATAAAAATGTCAATTGATCCAACTGCCACTTTTTACCATCCTAATAACAATTTTCTAAATTTAAAAAATAAATAAATAAATAAATAAAAAAAACTCGTTAAAAATTTGTCTTTGTCTTGTTAAAAATTAAGCATTTTAAATTTTTAATTTGATGGGTAAGTTCAAAGCTTCTAATAATCATTCCAGAATAAAAACTATAAATAACGCATATACTTGATCAACTACACAATCTCAAAACAATAAACATTGCCATTAGCATCGATTGTTAAATTATTTAAATTCTTTTAAAATTACGTTTTAAGACATTTAATAAGGAATAAGAACGATTTTGTAGTTATAATTCAAAAGTTAAATTAAAAAACAATAGTGACTTAATTAAATATTACACTTCATGCTTCATTGGTGTTGTAGGAAATTCCGCCAATTCCAGGCATGAAAATTTTGCCCAAAAAATTTTTTAACAAAAAGGCAAAAATTTTAGTATTTGTATTTATTTAGTTAATATTTTCACAAAAAACAATTATAATGTTAAGGAATAAGGATCTATATCAATTTCTTTCATTAGAAAGAAAACAACCTTAAATTAGGATATTATTTTTTGATATAAGTACCAGAATTCAATTCAAGGAGGTAGGGTATTTTTTCAATTGTATCATCCTGCCATCCGTTTTAGTTGGCTTAGACTTTTTTTTCCTTTTTCTAGGCTGGTAATCAGCAGGTCGTCTTCGAACATGAAATGATAAGGCACCTACAAAAATAAAAGCATTTAATGGTTGAGTTAACAACAGAACGTAAAGTTTCCTTTTCGCATATGGCTAACAATTTTCTACAAGCTTCAAAAAATTTTATATTTAAATTAAATATAAATGAAGTATATTATTCATTATGTTCGTTCAAAATAAAAATAAAAATTAAACAAAACCATACTTAGTAGTTAGAAAAGCAAATAAAAATATGTTTTTTTTTTTGTCAAATTAAATTATGCCAAGAAGTATTCACGATGTATACCATACTTTATTAAACTGCAAAAATTTTGTAACTTAAAAATTTTTTACAGCTATTTAGAGGGAGAAAAAACAGATTATACGAAAAGTTTGTCAATAGTTATGTTTTCAACCTTCCAGGCAGAAAGGAAAATAACAGTTAGAAAACAAAATAAATAAATTTATGAACTATCATTTCCATAAAATCTTTCAGACACAAAACCATTCATTTTTATATGAACCACAAAAAATTTTCATAACTTAATACTAGTTTTAAAAACATCATTTATAATTATTTTTGTATAGAATAAATGAAAAAAAGATTATCCAAATTTATATTAATTATTTGTTATGTTTAAACTTGCCACTCATAAATAATTTTAAATAAAAGATATACTATTGATTCTTACAAAAAGATAAATAAATGACAACAAAAATAATTAAAACACAACTAAGAATTAAGATTTTCATAACTAAATCATGCCAAGACCTTTGCAAAAAACTAATAATTTCATAACTGTTGCCAAGTCTTTCTATTGATTACGATATGCTTTATTTTCTACCAATTACAGCGAACTTTACTCTTGATTGATTACAACAAGCTTTAAGCAATTTATAATAGCATTTGTGGTATATTTGAACTAATAGCATATTTTGATTAACATTAGTTGAGATAAAACAGTCTTTCCTTCAATCATCCACTTTTTATAGTATACTGAATAAAAATTTGAAACAGACATCTATACATACCTATAAAAATAAAAAGAACAAGCAACAAAAAAGTCTTCTTACAGATAAAAAAAATGATGCTAATATATATTTTTTTTTAAGTAAAACAATTTCAAAAAAAGTAAACAAAAGTAACAGAAAACATCAAATAAGTATGAAAAGCGATGTTTTTAAATTTTAAGAAGTTAAAAGTTTAAAAGTCTGCTAAAAAATTTTGAACAGACATCTATACATACTTATAAAAATTTTGATTAAAGGAATTACAGTGAAACCTGCAAAGTTGACAACCCTTGTAAGTTGGATATCTGCATAAACTGACCTCAATTATCAAGAACAGAATTTTTCCTACATAATATAAAGAAGCAAAACCTTGGTAACTTGACCACTTGTCTATCTTGTATGTTGACCACTGAAATAAGTCAATTTTGTCTAGGAGTATTATGAAATTCAATTCTAAAACCCTCATAAGTTGACCAGGAAAAAAATGCAGAAAATTTTCTGTCATTCTGCAATGTATGTTAAAATTTCACTTGTTCGGTGAAATAGTGTAAAAAGCCAATCTAAACCCTTTTGTGAATTGACCATCTGGGGAAACTGTAGGAGGTCAGCTTTTGACCATTTCTCTCATTCATTCATTGAAAGCGGGTGTGTTAGTTGAAAAGTTGCTCTTCCAGTTGCAATTTTCAAATTACATGTTTTCGTGTTCTGATATTTTAAGAAATTATTTTTATTAAACACTTCACATGCATAACTAACGAAATAATATTTTTTTAAAAAGTTAGTTAAATATTAGAATTATGTATGTGCAACAAATTCATTCAGATTTAAACAAATTTCTTAAGATATTCATTTGACTATTTGCTAAATAAAATTTTAAAGTCAAGTAAAAAAAATTTTTAAATACATAGCAACATGATGCAGGAAACGAAAAAGTAAGCAATGACCTACCCCCTCTATAAGTTGCCC